CCCGGTTGGAATTTCCGAACGGAATGTCGTGTTCCATTTACCTTTCTCTTAGTTTGTACCAGTTCCAGGTCCACGGTCGGGCACCGCCACGTACCGGTGTTTACGACCAAATGGAACAACTTTTTACCAATCGGAAATTCCACTTTTGCTCCCACCGAAATTTCCGGGGTTTTTTCCTAAATGGAAAGCGCCCCAGGCTTCTGTCGGTCAAAGTCAAATGTCCCGACCCCGGGGTCGCTTCGCACGATCAAAAGCCCGACAGGGGGATAGTCTCAGGCATCAAATCGCCCGCCCCTTGCCCGCACTCCCCTCCCACGGGATTTACATTGATAGGTGCATTAGTCACTTTCTATTTATGTATCTACCTTATCAATCCTTTGAAAATCCTTTAAATTTCATCCTAAAATGAATTGACCCATTTTAAAATAAATTGAATGAAGAACACTTTACTTTTTACCTACAGTACAAATATTCTGGTTCGTTTGCTAAAGGTAAATATGAAGAACTTTCTTACCCCCAAAATGCGAAACTCTATTGAAAAAGCATCGCCATCCAGCGGCACATCCTCATTATCCTCTTATAAGGAAATGTCCCCCTCCTGAGGGATCATCACATGTATCACGGCTCCACTGGCATCCTGACTTGTCAAAATGTTCTGGTATGTCTTCTAAACTGCATTTCCCGCATCTTATCTTATCTTGTCAAAAGCTATTTATACACTAATCCAAATGGTGAAATTCTAAGGAGTGTGAAAAACATCAAAGATCTCGGTATTACAATATCGTACGATCCATCATGGAGCAATCAAATTCACATAGTCGTCAATAAAGCCAACAAAGTCCTTGGGGTCATTAAGCGCGTGCTTGGGGCTAATAGTGTAAATGAATTCTCTTTGCTATACAAATCTCTAGTAAGGCCAATACTGGAGTATGTGGCCCCCGTGTGGTGCCCCTTCCTAGTAAAGGACATCGTTTCGCTAGAAAAAATTCCAAAGGAGAGCTTTGAGACTGGCTCTAGGCCAGAAGAGAGGCGAAATGGACTATGAGGAACGTTGTTCCATTTTAAAGCGGTCACCATCAAAGAATATTGTATTTTTCTCTGATCAAGTGTTATAAATCAAGAGCCATAAATGTATATTTTCTTTAAGTAATCTCGACTTTTTCCAGTTTGCATCAAAATGAATAAGAAGTAATCATAATTACAAGTTGAAGTTTCAAGCATCTAGTTGTAATTATTGTTACAAATATTCATTTTTTGTGAGAATTGTAAAAGAATGGAACGATTTACCGAGTGGGTTGTCGGAGCTGGCACCCTTGCATGTTTTCGGAGGATCCAATGCTTGTTCTAACTCCACCTGAAAACAGAATTGGAAAAAATACAGAAATTAACCAGGTTGGATTTTTTTTCTTATTTAAAAAGCTGAGTTCTATCACCAACTGCACTCACAAGAAAGGCTTACAAAGAGATGAACGTAGATGAAGGGTTACAGGATTAAGCTATTCTTGAGAGAGCAGATGAAGTTATTTGCGTTCCGTCCTCGTAGAATTTTCACCGCTAATGGAAGTTCTGTTATTTTAACTCATTAAAAACCATGCCAGCCAATACAGGTCCCATGGAGCCATTCATCTTGCTTTTGTGTGTAATTAATCTAATGTGCAAATAACGCTTTGGTGCCTAACATAAGCAGGAAGAGAAATCTTTTGAGCCACCACTTTGAAAGAGGTCTATGAGAATCATTTCTCAAACAGGATAGAGGTACGCGCCAAGAAAAACAAATTTGACTTGAACATTCAAGGGGAAATCATGACCATGTACCACTATTCCGTACTTTCCACCAAAATATTTTCTAGCAGATCCTTGGAAATTTCACAGAAATTTTCCTCACAGGGAATAAGCCTAGTGGCGACAAATGACACAAAGAGTGACAACAATCAACAACAATCAATCTTTATTAGTGCCCCGAAAAAAAAAATTTAAGTAAATTTCATGTTGACAATTAGCAAGATTAAGGGAGCACAGCCACTTAAAAAACGCAATTGCTAGTTGCGTTAAGTGGCTGGCTATGCGAAAAAAAATATTTACAGGTGCATTAGATAAAGAAATACACACGTTAACAAACACTTAAAGAAAGAAAACAAAAAACTAAGCAAGGACTGCGTACATAGTCGGCTGTAAAAGTGGATTAATGGTTGAAACTGTGGGACAGCAACAAAGTCAAGTAAAAAAGGGACATTACCTCCTATACTACAGGGCTCGAAATTAACTTTTTTGTTCGGGAGCCAGCTGGCGACTAACGGAAAAATTTTGGTCGCCAGATCGTAAATTTTGGTCGCCAACTTATTTTATATATAACTTACACAAGAACACGATTTTATACGTTACTTTGCATGCAAGAAAAGTCACAACTGAAGAGCGAAAACAATTAGAAACAACACGAGTAACACTTAGTTATAAAGCTACCGTTGTTCTCAGGTGATATGTCTCTGGTCCGAAGGTGATGGTTGTCTCCATAGTCATTTTAAATGAAGCGAAGCATAAAACGTTTTAAGTCCGTGGTTTTCATTCTGAGACAAACACGGGTCCTTGTGTATTTGCCCTTTGCTACTTCTACGAAATGCCGTTCTTTATTTTCGACTTGCTTTCCTCAACGCCTTTCGCTGCCGACAAACAACGCCATGCTTGGCCCAGGCCTCTACGCAACCACATTGCTCGTACCAGTCTCCGACCGGGAGGAAACAAAAATGGGCTTAGTGCAGTTTTTGGGTCTTCGTTTCCTTTTAGACAGAACGTTTTAGGAAAATAAAACCTAAAATGTTGCGGGAGTTACGGAGACACCGTATCTGCCACCATTTTTGTTGTTGAAGTGCGCCTGCGATCCCAGTTTCGGAAGAAGCCGCTGAAACAATATGGCGCGCCCTGAACGCAGTATCGACGTGTCGATTATCTTGTAATATTCAGACATTATTTTACTGGGGACGGAAAGGTGAGTTGTATACTAGCTACCATATCCGATTGATTTCCAAATATAAAGATTTAAAAACAAAAGTTGTGTCGTGGTTTTCTTTAGTCATCGGACAAAACGCGAGTCGCCAGCTGGCGACCAGTTCTGAAAATTTAGTCGCCAGTGCTCAATTTTTGGTCGCATTGGCGACCAGTGAGTCGCAATTTCGAGCCCTGTACTAGGGACATACCTACCCACCCTCAGAGGGCTTTTATTAAGAACTTTCAGTGACAACATGGACTACAAATTACTATCTTAACTTAGAAAAATTATTGCATGAATCTTATAATCTTCAACTTTCAAAAAGAAGATGAGATGTTTCTCACCTCTGCTTCCTGTAAGGTACCGCGTCTTGTTTGATTCTTTTAAATGCCCTCCTCCCACCATAAGTGCACCACTAATATTAAAATCTTCCCAATCAGGGCAGTCGCTTATGGGAAGTTGTTTATGATATCAACAAAAGAAACTTTTGGGGACTAAAAATAGCCCTTTCTTCTGATCAATACCGCAGCACCGGCAGCTGTAGGTGGTGCATTAGCAGTAGCAGATGGAATCTGGGTATCATTGATACTGCCACTGCAGAGATCCCTCAAGAGAGATGCACTACATGTAACCGAGTGTTGAGCTCTCCTGGCTGTAGAGAAATTTGCATGCATGGCTCCTGGTACCCTGGGTACCAGAGGTTTTTCTCCCGTGCGGCGGGAATTTTCGGTGTTGGCCGAAGGCCGACACGTCTTCGGCCGTAGGCCGAAGCCGAACCGCGCTAGAAAAGTCTCTGGAACCCAGGGTAGGCTCCTGGAGGCTGTGGAGGTCAATGTATAGACAACAACTGGAAGATGGCAAAAGATGATGGAAAAAAATGTTGTTATCATGTTTGTGACAAGTGTTTTGCAATACTAATAGGATAAGGAGGTGGGGGAAGACAGGGGGCTCAGGGAACCCAGAAGAAAAGGGGGGATGCGGAAGGAAAGAGCAGCAGGTGGGAGTTCTAAAGGGAGAGAACTAGGGAACTGGGAGAAATGAAGGGAATTTATAATTAATATGCAATATTAATATAAAACAAGGTAGAGGAGGCAGAACTTTGGAAACTCCTGTCTCCCCACCTCCTCGAAAGGAGGACCTGAATGGGTTTTTGACCGTTTAGTGTGTTTGTCCCAAATTTTCTAAATATGTAAATGCCTAAAACAGTTAAGTAATTAAATAAGAAAAAGTTTTCCATTTGTTACAGAAACTTTCAGTATTATTTTTTTTTCTGGTTTAGCAGCCAAATCTATGTTTCTAGGGATAAAGTGCAATAGACTTTGACAAGACCCACCTTGATTGTTACAGGACACAGAATCTGAAGGGGCCTATTTCTTCCGTAACAGTTAGCCTTCGCAGCAAGCATTTCCGTACAGTTTCGGGGCGTAGAACAAGAGAAGAGAGTCAAACACCGGGCAAAAACTAGGGCTTGCTCCTGTTCCGTTTCTTGCGCGGCCAAATCTGAAAATCCTGTTCCTCGGTCTTTCTTTGCTCTGAAACCAAACGGAAACGCCTTATATGGAGGCTAAGTAATAGTCGACTGCCAGAATTATAGCTGGTTTATATCTATGCATTATATAGTCTGTATAGTTAACCACTACCATATCCAGTTCTTGAAATAGGGTGGGGTTGGAAGATGGTGGTGGCTTTAATTTTGACATTGCTCAAACTTCAAAAGCTGCTAAAAAGTTGCCGTGCACATTTTATGTACATGCCTAACTTATCTTTGTTATCAGTTACTTCTGCCGAATAAATCATAGGTGTAATAAAGATGGTATTTTAAACACGGACTTTGTCTGGTCTGGTCCGGTCCTATTTGCATATTTGTTACTCTTTAAGCCGAAAAACTTGAGGCTGTGATTCAAAAAAAGAGTGGGCTGCCTGTGCCAAACCCGCGAAGACCCTGGGCACTAGATTGACAAACGGAAAGGTTGACGAGAGTGCAAACCAGAAGGTTTCAGAAGGAGCAATCACTGCAATGGCTACTCTTGATGATAACTGGCAGACAAAACATCCAACTATCAGCGAGAGAACCAAATTTATATTCAATAACGAGTTATTAAGTGATGTGAAGTTTGCAGTTCCTGTGTCGCATAACGAAAGTAAAAGCCGGAAGAGTCAGACGTGCATGATTCCAGCTCACAAGTTTATACTTGCAATCAGCAGTCCTGTTTTCTATGCCATGTTCTACGGTGAAATGGCGGAGACCTCAGGTACTATTCAATTGCCTGACTGTGATTATGAGAGTCTCTTGGAGTTGTTTCGTTTTCTGTACAGCGATGAAGTGAACTTGAGCGGAAGTAATGTGATGCAAGTTCTCTACTTGGCAAAAAAATATCTGATACCTTCACTCGCCGATAAGTGCACTGAATATCTTCAGGAACATGTAGAGGCGTCGAATGTGTTCTCCGTTCTGCTTCAAGCTCAGCAATTTGACGATAAAGATCTGGAAGAACGGTGCTGGGAAGTTTTAGAGACGCACACCGAGAATGCTGTGACGTCGGAAGAATTTGTCACGCTTGATAGGTCTGTTGTTGAGTCTGTCGTGAAAAGTGAGAGATTGAATGTAAAGGAAGTGGATTTATTCAAAGCTGTTGATCGCTGGGCCACCAAAGAAGTGGAAAGGCAAGGGCTGACCCCTGATGGCGTGGTCAAAAGAAGGATCCTTGGCGAGGAAATTGTGAAAGCAATAAGGTTTCCAGTGACGTCGCAGAAGGAGTTTGCTTCGGTTGTTGTGGATTGTGACATTTTGACTAAAAAAGAGATTAGTTTCATGATGAAGCATTACAGTGGTGTCGGTTTAGAGTCTTCTTTACCATTCATGCATTCCCCTCGTAGAACTGGGCTTTTGTATCGAGTTTACAGATTTGCAAAAGTAAGCCGCCCTAAAGTGCCGCGCGGTTCCCGCAGTCATGGTTTATGGAACTACGTTGATGGTGATTCTGATGCCATTAACCTAACTGTCAGTAAGCCTGTCGTGTTACATGGAGTGCAGCATTTTGGTTGTGATGGTGGCAAGTACACAGTTTCATTAGAAGTGAAAGATGGGATGAATGGTTTTTCTCTGGTAAAACAAACGGGAATATATTCCTCCAATAAAGATGAGACAAATGGCAGAAATGGTTACTATGGATTTGATGTCATGTTTGATCAACCAATTTGCCTTGAAGCAGACAAAGCATATGAGATTGTATCTCTTATCAAAGGTCCACTATCGTGGTATGTGACTAAGGGGAAGGAATCGGACGAGGTTGAAGGAATCCAGTTTTCATTAAGCGATTCACCTGCTTCTTCAAATAGTACTGGTGTAAATGGTGGCCAGTTTCCAGCATTTATTTTCAACAAAATGTAGTTTAATTCTGAGCTGATGATATTGTTACTTTATCATCGAGGTGGTACTCTGCAAATGTCATTTTGTTATTTATGGAAAAACCTCTTTAAACAAGGCAGATTCTCTTAAAGAGATTCCCGGTCTGTGCACACGTCAGCCAATCTAATTTCTCATTTTTCTAACAAAAGCGGAAAAAGGAAATACCTGTATTACTTATCCTTATCATATTTACATAGTTTAAAGTACAGAAAAAAATACAAAAACAGAAAATGGTCAGGAAAATCGATCTTTTTTTCATTTTTCTAATTTTGACATTCAATTCAAAAATACAAAAAATACTGTAAATGGCTAAAAGTGATATTTTGCTATTTTTTAGTGTTTTGCTATTGTTAGAAAAGTGAGAAAAATGAAATAATCTCCAATTCCTAGCTCATTTTTCTATTTTTCTGTTTTTCCCAAAAAATGGAAAAATGGAGTCTTTAGTTTTCTTTGCAGCTGTTTTTAGGGACGTCATGCAACGCTCAATCCCACAAACGGCTGCTTCTTTCGAACTACATTCCTTTCCCTTATGTAACCAATATGGCTCTTGATGTGACCAATCAGAATTTGGTTCTCATATCCAAACTGTTCGCAACATTAGGAACTAGCCAATCACAGAACGTGTCTTATATTGGGGAGGAGCATTGTGTCAGGACCCTAAAAACAGCTGCGAAGGTGACTAAGGTGGGTTATACCATTCGCGTATTTTTTTCTCCTTCACGCCTACTATTGTGATGTTAGTATATTTGCAGGCGTGTGAATCTAGGGGCTCTGCCAGATCTGTCAAGTCGAAAGGAGAATTCAACTATTGGACCGGAGTATCAGCCAGATCAGTTAATACCTAAATGGTATGTGTGGCAGTGATGGGTTTTAATAAACATTTGCAGAAAAGGCTAATATTTCTTTTTTCGCATCCAGTCTGGCCAGCCAGTTCTGACTTTTGGAAAGCGCCCTAATGTCTAGACCAAACATCGAAATTTTCATGGGATGAACCAAAGGCTGTTGTATAGCAAAGAGAATTCATTTACACTATTAGCCCCAAGCACGCGCTTAATGACCCCAAGGACTTTGTTGGCTTTATTGACGACTAATTATTAGTCGTCAATAAAGCCAACAAAGTCCTTGGGGTCATTAAGCGCATGCTTGGGGCTAATAGTGTAAATGAATAATTCTCTTTGCTATACAAGTCTCTAGTAAGGCCAATACTGGAGTATGCGGCCCCATTGTGGTGCTCCTTCCTAGTAAAGGACATCGGTTCGCTAGAAAAAGTCCAAAGGAGAGCTTTGAGACTGGCTCTAGGCCAGAAGAGAGGCGAAATGGACTACGAGGAACGTCGTTCCATTTTAAAGTGGTCACCATTAAAGAATTGAAGACTATTTTTCTCTGATCGAGTGTTATAAATGTATATTTTCTTTAAGTAATCTAGAATTTCAAGACTTTTTCCAGTTTGCGTCAAAATGAATAAGAAGTAATCATAATTACAAGTTGAAGTTTCAAGCGTCTAGTTGTAATTTTTACAAATATTTATTTTGTGTGAGAATTGTAAAAGAATGGAACGATTTACCTGAGTGGGTTGTCAGGGCGGGCAATCTTGCATGTTCTAAATGGATCCAATGCTTGTTCCAACTCCACCTGAAAACAGAATTGGAGAAAATGCAGAAATTAATCAGGTTGGAATTTTTTTTCTTATTTAAAAAGCTGAGTTCTATCACCAGCTGCACTCACGAGAAAGGCTTACATAGAGACAAACGTAGATGAAGGATTGCTGGCTTAAGATACAGTAAGAACCCAAGTATAAGAACCTAAGTTTTTCCAAGCTAGGCAAAGAAGGTTCTTATAAAAATGGTGCTAACTAGAAAATTAGGCAACTCAGGTTCTTAAACAGGTTCTTATTTTTCAAAATAAGTAAGGTGTCTGTCATTGGTGGGTGTGGCCCTTTTCGGGCCTATTTTTGGTATTGCATGCATAATATATTATAAAAATCCATTTATGAAGGATATAGATCTGCATGTGAATTGTCTCATTGCCAGGTTTCATTTTACTAACTGGTGGACTCAGCTTGTTTTATTAAATTTGTGTATTCAGTGTTAAAATAAGAACCTGTTCCAAAATTGTAGCCTAAAACAGGTTCTTATGTAAAAGGGGTCTTTATAATGGACAATCTTAGGCTAACAGGTTCTTAAAATCTAGGTTCTTATACGCGAGTTTTTACTGTATTCTTGAAGGAGCAGATGAAGTTATTTTCATTCCGTACACTTAGAATTTTTACGGCCACTTCAAATTGTGTTATTGTAACTCATTAAAAACCATGCCAGCCGATACCGGCCCCATGGAGCCATTCCCCTTGTAACTCTTGTGATGTGATTAATCTAATGTTTAAGTAACGCTTTTGTGCTTTGCATACGCAGAGAGTGATCTTTTGAGCCATTCCTAGCCTCTTCCAGGCACTCTGATAGTGAGGATGACGCGTAAGTGAAAGGCACGCGAAAATATGAGCGCGTGATTTGGGAAAAGGGGCCTGGAACAGGCTAAGCCATTCCCTAATGAGAATCATTTCCCAAACAGGTCAGAGATACGCGCCAAGAAAAACACAAATTTGACTTGAACGTACAAGTGGAAATCATGATCATGTACCACTTTTCCATGCTTTCCACCAAAATATATTCCAGCAGATCCTTGGAAATTTCACCGCAATTTTCCTCACACTGGAATTAAGCCTGGTAACAATCCAGCAAAATAAAAGTTTACAGTAAGTCTAGCGGCCAGGGGAAAATGTCAAAGAAATCGCCCCACGTACAGTACTTGTAAGGTAATCAAAGGGAGCCTTGGATTCTAGATTTCAGGCTGTGGATTCCAATTTCCCGGTACTGGATTTCGAATTTCTTGTCGATCAGTGGAGCTTGGATTCCCGATTTCGATTCTTTGCTAGGGGAACTTCTTGGATTCCAGATTCCACTCGTAAGCAGGATCAAGATACCCGTAGGGCTTTGTACGTTATGCTTTTGTTTCCCCACTAAAATGCTCCACCTTAATGTTCCATTTTTCCCACTAAAATGCTCGTTACCAGCGATAAGCGCTGGACAAAGAACCATCCAAACATAGCACACACAGCTGTGCGGGCGATAGTAAGCGAGGAACCGGTGATCCGGCCGGCTTTCAGCTGTGTACCGTACCGATACGTCGACAAAGGGCGTTGGATTCTCATCTTGGAAGAATTCTGGTGTTCCTTTCTGCTGGCAGGCGCTTTGTTGCACTTCATACAGACACGGCAGCTGTAGCAGTCCAAACAATGATGTTTGGCGCTGGAATCTCGTCAATCGTTGCACTCCACTTCGCACCCCTTGCAAACCAAGATGCAGCCGGGTTGTTCCGCTTCTGCGTGGCCACAACGCTCGCACGTCGAGATTTCAGGAGCCTTCTCAGTGGCTGCATCTACAATATGTATAACGCTATTGATAACGCCTCGATACTAGGGCTCCTCGATACACTTGCACATAGTTTCATTAGAAGTGAAAGATGTGGCAAAGGGTTTTTCTCTGGTAAAACTGAAGGACACATATTCCTCCGAGAAATTAAAAGATGAGACAAATGGTTACTATGGATTTGATGTCATGTTTGATCACCCTGTTTGCCTTGAGCAAGGTAAAACGTATGCGATTGTATCACTTATGAACGGCCCGTCATCGTGGCGTGTGATACACGGTAAAAACTCGGACGAATAAAGAATCCAGTTTTCATTTAGGAGTCCAGCTTCTTCTGGGAATGGAACTGATGTTAGACTTGGCCAGTTTCCTTCATTTATCTTCAGCAGTATGTCGTTTAATTCTTAACTGACGATACTGATGATTGTGGTACGCCGCGGAATTTTTTATTGAGGGAATAACTACAATGGAGGACAAAATTCTTAGGACAATTAACACGATCTGCCTTAATTTTTCCCCCTTTCCCCCTCTCCCCTAAGCAATGTTGTAGTTTGTGCACCCCTGTAGACTTTACCCTGTCCCAAAAGTGTTTCTTCATCCCAACATTGTTTGGAGGGGGGAGGGGAGGGCCAGTCGCGGTATCCAAGTGGTTAGAAAAGTGTACATTATGCTACATCTGAACATTTTGATAAGTTAAGGATGTGGAAGGAAGGTTTTCCATAACCGTTCCAAGGATTTTTGTCCTCCATTGTAGTCTGCTACACAGCCATTTTTAGTGTCGTCACGCAACGCTCCTCCCCACTAACGCTTAAACAGCACTCCCCACTAAGTGGGGAGGAGCGTTGAATTGCGTGACGACACTAAAAACGGCTGTGTAGTAGACTAGGGAATAACCTTATCAAATAAGCGGTGCTGTCAACTCTACTGGATAATCCGGGAGACTCGAGATTTTGGACCGTATCCTCCGGTCTCCAGATTAGTGTCTGATATCTCCCGGACAATTGCTAAAGGCGCTATTTCTTGTAGACTTGACATTTGAAATATTTTTCGTTGTTTGAGCTACTGTTAACATGGAACGTTTCCTCATAGATTATGGGATGCCATAATTTAAGCAATAATGTGGCTAAGTATGAACTGTTTATGTGCTATATACGCTGATTGCAATCAACAAGCATTTTTGGCTCAAATGACGTCATTTGTCGTCCGATGTGACGTAATCTATCATTCCTTCCCTATCAATTCTCAATATTTGATGACGTGGGGGATTGACAGTCCTGAATAAGCCAGAGTCTTAGTAGAAGTAACGAATCATATTCCCCACTACCTGTTGTTAGGGTTAGGAGGCTGAATGCTGTCGACACACTGCCTTGTAGCTGAACTGGAATGATTTGCCAAGAAAACAAATATAGAGCTAGTTCGCATGTTAGTTCTTAGCCATTACATCAAGTAAGACTTCGGACTCCTTTCACGTTTTATTTATTTGAGTTAAAGTAGTGAAGAATGAAACAGTCATACACAGAAAAATTAAATAGAGAAATTTAGTGGCACTTACTCAATTCCTCATTTTTAACTCCTTGGTTTTACAAAGATAAGCAGTTTTTTTTAATCCAGTAAGCTAAGTAATAGTGAAAAGAGATTTAAGCGATGTTGAATTTTATTGGCTAAGTGAGATAAAATGTCTCAAATTGGTTTAACGAATCTCTCTAAGCAAGAGAAATTTTTATGTTATTCAGTAGACTACACTGAGGCTACACTGAACAGAATTTCGTACCGATCGGCGTGGCTCATCAGCTTTGTTCCGTTACAGAAATTATGCCGAAATGACTGTTCCCAAGTGTGGACAGAAGTCCTATCCGGTATGGTTTTTGTGCTGGCGCAAAAGGATGTAGTAGGAACATAGCTGAGTCAACTTTGCAGGTTGAGACTAGAGATCTTCGGAATATTTGCGCGAACCCCACGGGATGGCCAGATACATTTTGATTCAAGCAATTAGCTGCAGGTGTGTGGGCGAGCGTTGCGTGACGACACTAAAAACGGCTGTGTAGCAGACTATATGCCCTCCAGCAAGGTTTTTTCTACCATGTGACCGTTTCGTGCAAAGGGCCTACTAACATGATTGGTTGAAGATTGCGAAAATGCTCATGTGTGCACGGGATGAGTAAAACTTGGACACAAGTATTTGGCAAATTTACAGTCTAGTCTTTTGCTAATAAGAATGTTAGGTAACACTCCCCTTAGCTGATAAAGATGCAACTTTTAATCTTCAGTGATGAGCAAAGCCGTATCAAAGGTTATAATGGGCTTCGGCTTCTAATTAAAAGAGGTGGTAAAAATTTCTAATGTTTATCAGTAAAGGGATTGTTTTCCTGAGTAGAAATTAAAGGGACTTTCTTAAAGAATTAAGAAGATGGTAAGTCAAGGAAGTACTCGTTGCGAGGAAAGCTTTTAAGACAGCGTTTGTTTGTCACCCCGGGGTTTGTCAGTCCACCAGTCCAGCCTGGGGTCAATTCTATAAAACTTCTACAAGTGTAATTTACAAGTGTAACTACTTTTTTGAGACCCTAAAACAATAGCTTTACAGTTATAAAAGTTTTATTAAATTGATCGTAAAACTTTTACGAGTGTAATATTCAAGTGTTTTTAGAGCCTGGAAACAAAGCTACCCTTGCAAACTTAGTACTTGTAA